TTCCTTCCATTGGACTAGTTGACATAGATGCTTCAGACGCATTCACGCTGGGAGCGTTCCCAAAGCGTCGTTGACGCATCGTCTCGTTCCCTTTCTCAGGGAACTATGGTTACAGTCGTAACCTGAGACGTTTTTCATAGCAACCTGTTTATATTACTATGGCCTAGATCCATAATCAGAATTTGACCAAATTAATAACATAATATTGTTCTACATGTAAACATGTCCATTGCCTTCCTTAGAAGAGCTGAATCAACTTGTATTTAAGGATGGTTACAAATTAAATAGATCTAGTGATTTTACACTCATTTTATTTAGTAAAGAAGCTTGCTGGCTAATATTTCAAAATTATTTCCATCCACCACTGGGTGCTCTTTCTCCGCTGAACAGCATAATTTTATTTTTGGCAGTCAATCCAATCTTACAAAAAATAATATGCTTAAGTGTTAAAGTAACTGTATTATTGCAATTCTAATAAATGTACTGTTTGAACGGCAATGGCAAAATTATGAGAGTAACATACTATTTTCAATTAAAACAGTATTACACCATAGAAAACAATGCATTCTGGGAAATTATTTGTCATTTTCAAGAAAGTAGCCTCAAAGTGTCCCAAATCACACCCTATACCCTCATTCACTATTTCCTACATTAGTTCACTAATATAGTCCACTTGAGAGAGTGAATGAAAATAAGTGAATTTATTCAGACACTGATAAACACCTGACAAGCAGAATCACTGAAGGACAGAGAAACAAGAACAGAAAAAAAGAGAAGACATAACCAGAAACATGAGAACTACAGTACACTGACTTCCAGCCACACTGAGTGTGAAACCAGATAACAAACCAGTTTATTTCATACATGTACAGAAGTTCCTGTTGAGATTTAACAGAGGTTTAGATGTTTTATTGAAAATAATAAAGTTTTTAGTCACCATTAACCCTTGACCCTTAACTTTTTAACATTTGTATTTTTTTTTCTGGCTGCTGTAATTGTGTGTTTAAAAAGCACGGTTGTCATGGCAAGACAAAGCCAAGAGGAATTTGATCAGGTGTTTCTGGCTATGTTGCTATGATGCCATAATCAATCATCATGACCTTGTCTGATCCCATTCTGTGTCTTTTAATTTTATATTTATCGGTGATAGTAGCTATGTGATTCTACAGCTTTCATTCAGTAATCAGTTATAAAACTGAGTAAACTATGCAGCTTAATGTTTTTTTTTATATGCCATTTTTTGCAACACGTTTGATAAAGGATTGAACACTATATGTGATCAGTGAATCAAGAGACTACATGATGGTTATGTCATCATCAGTGCATTACAATCAGCATTCACTGATCATCATCACAAAAAAAATGTTTTGCCATAAATGTGGCTTGCAAAAACAGTTAAAGCAGCACAAGAAAAAAATGGTTTTAAAATGTCAAGGGTCAAGAGCCCAAATAAGTACATACTGATCACCATAATGGTGATTCAACGCAAATATTTTCAATAAAAGATCAATATCTAAACTTCTGCTAATTCTCAATAAGAGATTCTGTAGATGTGTAACAGAAATAAAGTCAAACTGGTTAGTAATAAGTGTAATAATGTGTAATGGCTGGAAGTCAGTTGCAGTTATTGTGTCTCTTTTTTCTGTTCTTCTTCCTCTTTCCTTCATTGATTCTGCTTGTTAACAGCAGGTGTTCATCACCAATGCTCAAAAATCACTTACATATTCACTTAATTATCTCACTGCAACACTGCTTCAGTGTTACTTTTTCTCTTTGTAGTGTGGACACTACAGTATGTTCCTGTGGGGTTGAAAGGGTTAAAGGTGCAAAATAAAATGGCACATCCACGAAATGTATTTTAACACTAATAAACTGTTAAAAGAGGTTTGGGCCAAATTCTGAGCTCGGAATATCAAACTAAACAACTCACGAGTTCCTTTGCCCATATAATCTTTAAAGGAACACTTCGACTTTTTGGGACTTTAGCCTATTCAACGTTTCCCCCAGAGTTAGATAAGTCCGTACATACCTTTTTCATCTCCGTGCGTGCTGTAAGTCTGTTTGACGCACCCACCGCTAGCCTAGCTTAGCACAAAGACTGGATGTAAATGGCTACAGCCAGCACACTAATCCCAATAAGTGACAAAATAACGCCAACATTTTCCTATTTACATGTTGTGATTTGTATAGTCACAGAGTGTACAAATAACAAGGTAATATGAGACACAGCCACTTTTTAAACGTTTAAATACTGGGAACTATTTTCTCAGAAGGCGAAGCACTGCTACTTGGGCGGAGTGATAACCGCAGCACCTGAGACGCACTCTCTGCTCCTCACCACGGCGCTTCTCGGGTGCTGCGGTTATCACTCCGCCCAAGTAGCAGTGCTTCGCCTTCTGAGAAAATAGTTACCAGTATTTAAACGTTTAAAAAGTGGCTGTGTCTCATATTACCTTGTTATTTGTACACTCTGTGACTATACAAATCACAACATGTAAATAGGAAAATGTTGGCGTTCTTTTGTCACTTATTGGGATTAGTGTGCTAGCTGTAGCCATTTACATCCAGTCTTTGTGGGAACTAGGGAACTGAACATGAACAGCTGAATCAAATTATAACTAATGTGTAACCATAGAAACTAATGAGAAATCATACAGACATGACAGGAACTAACTAAACAGAACATTATCGTGACAGCCTGATTTTTTCTGCCTTAGTTGTCCTCCTTAGGTGGGCAGGAGCTACAGGATCCGCAGTGGAGCTGCACCCCATCCCATGTAGAGAGAAGGTCCCATCTCCCTTCTTTGGGCATCTGTGAGCAAGGGATTGTATAAATCCCTGATGGTGTTAACTGACCGTGTGTTACATGCCGCACAAGCTACACGTCACAGTATAAATGTAAGCAACACAAGTGCCCAAGCAGTCAAGAGTGAATTCATTGCATTTGTCCTGCACTTTGTATCACACAGTTCATCCACAAGCCCTCCCAGATAGTCTGCTCAGTCACAATATTGGCTCCGATTACTGCTGTCACATTCCACAAATAAGGGCACAAATCATAATAGCTCCCCAGACACCAATAATGGCTAGGGACATGGCTAGGATAAGTCAAAACATAGACGCCATTTTTATTTATTTATTCTGTTGTTTTACTTTGTTTTCTTGGAAGTGTTTGCTCCTCTGTTAATTGTAGAAATGACTAACCTGTTTTAAGTTTTTCTCAGAAGGGAGGGGTCCAAGTCAGATGGACCTGAAACCTGGTTAAACCTGACCAGATTCCACAGCAGGAATGTGGATACAGCTAGTTTCTCTGAGACGCGCATCAACGAGGAATTATTGGTTGATGACTTGGTTCAAATACAAATGAACCAAGTCATCAACCGAAAAACCCTTGGATATCAACCACAAGCCTTTATACCGGCAGCCATATCACCCTGTAGCCCAAGACTGGTTGCCCACTGAAGCTAAGCAGGGCTGAGCCTGGTTAGTACCTGGATGGGAGACCTCCTGAGAAAACCAGGTTGCTGCTGGAAGAGGTGTTAGTGAGGCCAGCAGGGGGTGCTCACCCTGTGGTCTGTGTGGGTCCTAACGCCCCAGTATGGTGACGGGGACACTATACTGTCAAAGAGCACCGTCCTTCGGATGAGACGTTAAACTGAGGCCCTGACTCTCTGTGGTCATTAAAAATCCCATGGCACTTCTCGTAAAGAGTAGGGGTGTAACCCCGGTGTCCTGGCCACATTCCACCCATTGGCCCCTGCCAATCATGGCCTCCTAATAATCCCCATCCACTGAATTGGCTCTATCACTCTCTCTCCTCTCCAACTATAGCTGGTGTGTGGTGAGCGCACTGGCGCCGTTGTACTGTGGCTGCCGTCGCATCATCCAAGTGGATGCTGCACACTGGTGCAGGTTGAGGAGAGACCCCCTGATATGATTGTAAAGCGCTTTGGGTGTACAGTAGTACAAATGAAAGCGCTATATAAATGCCTCATTCATTCATTCATATATTGATTTCACGAGTTCACACGTACATGAAATCTAAAGTTGTATTTATGCGTATTTGGCTTGCTGTCCGGGGGAGGGCTCCGAGCTCAGAATTTTGCCCGAACCCAGAGTACTCCCCCCTATACTGGGGGTAGACCCAGTCGAGTGTGAGGTGATGGGGTGGTGGAGGGATGCTGAGACACTTGTCGTGAGACAGTAGGTGAGGAAAAGCTTTATTTATACCGGCTTCCTCTTGAGCTGATTGGTTGATTACCTGAACGTGCTCCTCCCGAACTTTGTTACATAAAACTTCATTTAGTGATCTAGTGCTTTTACACTCATTTTATTTAATTAAAAAAATAGTTTTTAGCTTACTGGCTAATATTAAAAAATTATCATATTATCACATATTATCATGATCCCATTAAAGTTATTGCCATAAAATAATAATGTTTCAAAACACAATTCTAATAAATGCACTCTTCCAACAGCTTATTAAGACCGCTTGCTGATTTGCTTTTCCAAATGTCTGGTGCAGAACAAAGTGATAATATCTATTCACTATAGATATAATATCTAATATCTATAAAATTGATTTTTCATTGAGTTCATGTTATGTAAGAAACGAATTAAGTAGAAACAGACTGAACATACCTAATAGACCTAATAGTTGTTTATTATTTCTTACAGTAAAATGTTTTTTTTTACAACAAAATTGCACAAACTGTTTTACAGGAGATCTTTGCCAACATCTGTTGAGTTTTTCAGCAGTTTAGTCACCATGACAGAGGCAAGCATGATCTGATCTGTAATGTAATGTTTTCTTTGATGTGAGAATATTCAGTATTGTCAAACTATTATTATGAAATGTTCAATGCAATAAGTTGTTTTACAGAACCGTTTATTTTAATAACAAAAATAGTAAGACACATTTAATGATCAAGACATCTTTGTGCAAAAAATGCTAATCTAAGTAACCCCAAATAAAAATAAAACTTGATAAGAAGAGCAACGCACATTTTTATAAAACCATAGACATTGTGTTTTTTTAACAGTTATATATATTTCATTTTCTGATTAATAAAAATATGACTATTGTCATATTAAACATAAATTGCAAGAATGGCTTGTTTATGAAAAACAGATCTCTGTTGCTTCCCTGAGTTGGATTCCTCTCATCACATTATACATACACAATTTTCTCTTTCAGTGGTCTGCATAACCACAGCAAAAAACCTCAGTATATAAACTATATGTCATATCAGACACTGTTCTTCTACTGTTTCTCCTTGGGAAAAAAAATATCCACAGCTGGGAATAAAGAGGTTTTACGAGGAAAAAAAGAGAGTCTTTGCAAGTAAAAAGTCTTAGTGTGCTTGATCTCTTTCAGACGTAGGCTTTGCTGGTGGCAACGGACCGTGGCTGAGAGTACTTTACGCCATAGTTGTCCTCCTTAGGTGGGCAGGAGCTACACAGTATACCTCCTCCCAGGATCAGCAGTGCAGCTGAACCAAATCCCATGTAGAGAGAAGGTCCCATCTCCCTTCTTTGGGCATCTGTGAGCAAGGGGTTGTAGAAATCCCTGATGATGGTGTTAGCTGACCAACAGACGGGGACCAGAACCAGCACTCCAGCGATGATGAAGATTACACCACTAGCAATAGCCACCTTCACCTTGGTGCTTTCACTCTCGACAAAGCTGGTACATTTTCCACCAGCAATCCCCAGGATGATCCCAAAGATGCACACAATGATGGCGATGATCACAAGTGCCCGAGCAGCCTGCAAGTCCTGAGGTAAGGCCAAGAGGGAGTCGTATATTTTGCACTGCATTTGTCCTGTGCTTTGTACCACACAGTTCATCCACAAGCCTTCCCAGAAAATTTGTGCAGTCACAATATTAGAACCAATGAATGCTGTCACCTTCCACATAGGAAGGGCACAAATCACAATAGTTCCTATGAAACCAATCATGCCTAGGGAAATGCCCAGGGTTTGTCGACACATAGACACCATTTTTCTCTTGTTTGCTTGGCTTCGTTGGCTTGAAAGTGTTCGCTCCTCTCTTAATCCAATAAATTACTTCTGTTCCTAGCCTTCAGAATGTTCCAACCTTTATGATTGTCTCCAAAGGGAGGAGTCCAAGTTGAATCAACCTAAAACCAGGTTAAACCTGACCAGATTCCACAGCAGGGAATGTGGGACACAGTTCATTTCTGTGAGATGCGTATCAATGAGGATAACCTAACAACCACATATATCAACCACAAGCCTTTATAGTGATTTAGTGATCTAGTGCTTTTATATTCTTTAATAAACAAGTTGTGAATTAGTAAATTTAATAAACAAGTTTTAGCTTACTGGCTAATATTATTAAAATATTTATATCCATCAGTATGTGCTCTTTCTCCACTGAGCAGCATAATTTTAGTTTTAGGCAGTCAGTTCAATATCACAAAAACAAAACCAGCGAGGGGTCCTCCTGTCACAGGGGAAGAAGGGCCCTCGCACTGTATTAAGCGAGAGGAAGCAAGAGGAGCGACAGAGACGAGAGGGGGGAGAGAGGAAAGAAGAAAGAAAAAAATCTTGGTCCGGTTCCCAAAACGCACTGCCATCTGGGCAAACTGTACAACTGGGTAAAAGGAGGCTAGGCATCAGTGCTTTTTAACTAGGATGCACACTGCATGTTTTTTAACTGATTATACTCAGGTACTCATGTCAGGCTACAGTTCGTTATTCGTGAAAGCAAACCATTCTGGTGGAAGAGCAGAAGCTGTGCTCATACATGTAAAAGGGTTATAGGTGGCTGAATCTTTGTTAATTTAGATTAAGATTGTGTGGGTGTTTAATTTGTGATTGTAATGAAGTTCGTTGTTATTGGAAGAAGGAGGCGGGAACCGGCAAACATTTAACAACTTTAATAATAAAATAAACCAGTACAAAAATGAAAGTAAAGACAGCAGCCCCTCACGGCTGACTGCTGTCACATACAACAAAACACAACATAAAATCCAGGCCTGGTCCTCTCTCGTCCTTCACTGTCATCGCTCCCCCTTTTATGCTCCCGTAGCTCCTCCGTGAGAGATACGAGACGGGTGTGTCACGCAGGTGTCGTTCATTATCAATCACGCCACCGGCCTCGCGCTGTTCTCTCTCGGCCCTCAGCCTCGTCCTGCTCGCCACATACCCCCATCGCCCCTCGCAGGCCGGGGGGTACTCCCGAGATAGACGAGGCGAGAGAAAAGGATACGGAAGCATGAGGAGCGACAGAGACGAGAGGGGGGAGAGAGGAAAGAAGAAAAAAATCTTGGTCCGGTTCCCATGACGCACTGCCATCTGGTCCTCCACCAACTGGGTGATCTTCTCCGGGGTACCTGGCGGTGGCGCTGGATAGCCCTCGGAGGACGGCTCGACACTCCTCCACCACCTGGTGGACGGCGACGGCTCCTCCGGGTTCGGGCAGTCGGCAGGAGTCCCCCGTTCCCTGCTCCTCCCCATCATGCTTTCAAGATAGCAAAAACCCTTTTCCAATTTCGAGTCTTCAATGTCTTGGCATGATTTTACCTATGTTTGATAGAAGTCACAAGAGTCCCCCAGGAGGAGTATCTGAAACGCCACAGTATGCCATTAAAAAAAATGTCTTGACTTCCTGTTTGGCGGAGCTAATGTCTGTGGTGTGAAAGTTGTCCGGCTTGATGAGATATGTGCAAAGCTCGGTGACCGTAGCTAAAAAAGTATTTGCTATAGAGTTCCCTGAACATGCCCATTTCTAGGTGGCGCTATAGAGCCCCCTCTACGTGTCCATGCATGAACCTTTGCTAAGCCATAATAGGAGATGACTTTGACAAGTGTGCAAAAGATCATGAATATTAAAGCACGGCAAGTACCCTAAAAAGAAATGACTAAACATAAAAAGGATACAAATGTTTGATATGTTGCCATGGCAACAGAATGTAAGAGATCAAACATTTCTAGAATTTTAAATCTATACTTTTTTGCCATTATTATAAAAACATCTGAAGCAATTTAGTGAAAGAGTGAAAAGGGAAATTGAAAAATTTGTTACAAATGTCCTACTTCCCTCTGCCAGTTGTAATGTTGAGGACAATAGCCCCTTTCACACAGCAAACCTGGTATATTACCGTAAAATTACCAGAATGACTTTATCGATAAATACACAAATATGCTGCTCACGCAAGCATTGGTGTTCTGGCTTTTTATCGGTAAGAGACCATTCACACATAAGCTCCAAAATACTGGTAAATTCTGTGATGTCAGTCATCGGAAGTGATCTTGAAACGTTGCGCCGTTGTCTTCATCCGCCCGCATAAGGAGAAGTGCTTTAGTTTCACTGTCTGTTCAATTTGACAACATTTTTTGACGCCTCAGTGAAAGGCATAAGGGGATGATCAAACAGAATGCATTTTTGCTTTTAAAAACACGAGACGTGCATAATAGTATCCAACTGATATCTGATCCAATCTGACTTCTGACCTGTAATGCTGCCTGAATCATAATCACACACTGTTTGTTCATTGGCCAGAGGAGAACTGAGTGACTGAGCCTGGGTTCTCAAGGTCATTCTGTCACTGATGAGTTTTGGTTCCTTGCCACTGTTGCCTTTGGCTTTTGGATTGCTTAATTGGGGACATTTATTATTCAACAATATTATTGATCTGCCTGCATTGACTCCATTATATAAGAACTGAACTGAGCTGGACGATGACATCACTGTTTTCTCCAGAGCGGCTATATATAAATTAACTAAATTAATAACTTTTTTACAACAGAAATGAACCATCACTGAAGTTACTTAAGCTGGACTATGAAACTTCTTTCTTCTAGATCTGCTGTACAGCAGAAACAAACTTTTTTGCATTATTTTCCTGTTATCACTGTAAAGCTGCTTTGAAACAATCTGTATTGTAAAAAAACACTGTATAAATAAAGGTGACAAAGGTGACAATTAACCTCTTAAACTAGACTTCTTAAATCAGTGCATTCTGACCTCATACGTGATCATACCGGTAATCTTCATTCCGCGTTCACACAGAGCACATTACCTGTAATTTACTGGTAATGTTACAACTTCCCTTACTGTTAAATTGCTGGAACCAATTTACCGGTATTTTAAAAAAGTTCCTGTTCACACATGATCTCTTACTGGTTATTTACCGGTAATTTACCAGTAAAGACTGTTTGTGTAGTCAGCGCCGATAGCCTCATGGGCATGTGCGCCGACATGTAGCGCTGTTATGCTTCTGGCGACCAGAGTCCGAATCCCGGCTCGTGGACTTTTCCCGATTCCGTCTCACCTCACTTCCTGTCTATCCACTGTTCTATCCTAATAAAAGGCAAAAACACCAGAAATAAATCTAATAAAAAAAAAAGAAAAGACTGTTTGTGTGAAAGGGGCTAATTATCCTACCAAAATCGTGAATATTAGACTAAATCTGTGTCAACCACAGCGATAAATACATTTGGAAATGTTATGGGGCACTATGGAGTGCACTGGCCACACCCAAAACAAATGACCAAAGAATTGCTAAATGTTGCTAAGCTTTTACGAGTTTAGTCTTTAGTTTAGTTTAGTACTAATTTTTGCATATTCTAAAGGGACCAAAATGCAATTTCGAACTAGGGGGCGCTGTGGAGCCAATGAGGCATGGGTCTCCTAAACTGCAGTATCAAACTATGGGGCTTTAGTGCCTCTGGATCAGGCCTCTATGGCCTACACCTTTTGTGCTCGGGCCCTAATCATATGTTAAAGTGTTAACATAGCTCTATTATTGCCATAAAATAATAATGTTTCAAATGCACTGTTCCAACAGCTTATTAGGACCGCTTGCTGATTTGCTGGTGCAAATGCCTGGTGCATAACAAAGTGATAGAAGATATGTATCCAAATTACCCAGGCATGTACCCCTACCAAGGACCTATGTAAAGTGATATCATACAGTATCTATTCACCCAATAAAATTAGATTTTTCATTGAGTTCATGTTATGTAAGAAACAATACTTTTTGCTTCGAATGAAGTGGAAACAGACTGAACATGCTGTTTATTGTTTTCTTTCATAGCAAAATGTAGATTTTTTTACAGAAACATTGCTAAAACTGTTTTACATGAGATTTTTGCCAACATCTCTGTTGAGTTTTTCTGTTTTCTCTGAGCCCAGCATGATCTGGGGCCTCATTTATAAAACTTTGCGTAGGATTTGCGTCAGAAGTGGCGTACGGATGAAACATAGGACGTGCGTACGCACAGAAATATTCGGATTTATAAAACCGTGCGCACGCACATCCTACGCATTTTTCCCTTAATAAATCACAATCAATTCTAAATGTAACGCAGCTTTTGCGGCTTCATGTCACGCCCATAGTTGCCCATAAATAGTCCGTGAAACGCCCACATGTTAATATTCAACGATTGCGAAATCGTGGCAAACACGAAGTAGAAGTTATCGTTGGCGAGGTGGAAAAGAGGAGAAAAAATGTTGTTTGGAGGGCACAGTGTGGGCATTAGCCTACTAATGCCAAAAAGGCACTTGAGTGGCAAAAGGTTGCAGACGCCGTAAATGCTGTAGCCTCACAACCTCGGACTGTGGCCGAAATAAAAAAGAAATGACAAGCTACAGATGTCGGTTATAATCTACTTGGAAATGGGAAATAGATCAGCGCAAATGTAATTTCTTGCAGCTTTCTGAATGGTTGAGACATACGTCATACGTTATTTTATCAAAAATAAAACAAACTAAAGGCATATGCATGAAATACCTGCATGAATATCATGATTCCGTAGCTGATGAAGACATTTTTACTATGAAAACAACTTTCCCCAGTGGACAAATAATACATCTATCTATTTATCTATCTATCTATCTCTCCCTAATTATCTATCTATCTGACTGACTATCTAGCTATATCTGCTCTGCCAGACGGACACATTGGCGAGAATATCAGTTTTGTACATTATTTCGTTCTGTTTACCATCTTATTTATGAGGATGAATTGTATAACATGCCAATATTATTGCAGAACATATTTCACTTTTCTTTTTGCAAATATGTGTTAATTTGCATTTCTGTTGCAGATCGATCAAACGGGTGTTCGTGTAGGCTGTTAATTGTAATACTTGCTTTGTGACGTCTTCGTGTTATTTATGAGAGGCAGTTTTGCCATTTATTTTACACAACGGTCTACAGTTTCACACACTTTCACGTGTTTCTTCCATCTGCCGACGGTGTCGCCATTTCTCATTTCACCCGTTTTTTGTGCGTACGCCTGGGTCAGAGCTTGCGTGAAGGACCGCACATTTTACCGTCAAGTTCGCTTTTTATAAATACCAATTATTGCGTAGAGAGCGGCGTACGCCTTCTTTTGTGCGTACGCAACGTTTATAAATGAGGCCCCTGATCTGTAATGTTTCGTGAGAATATATTGTCAAAGTATTATTATGAAATAATGTCAATACAGTATCAATAAGTTGTTTTACAGAACCATTTATTTTAATAACACAATAATTAGACAAATTTAATGATCAAGACATCTTTGTGCAAAAAAATGCTAATTTATGTAACAAAAAAAAAAACTTGATAAGAAGGTTAACACACATTTTATAAAACCAAAGACAATGTATTTTATTAACAGTTAGATATCTTTAATTTTCTGATTAATAAAACTATTACTATTGTCATATTAAACATAAATTGCAAGAATGTTGTTTATGAAAAACAGATCTCTGTTGCTTCCCTGAGTTGGATTCCTCTCATCACATTATACATACACAATTTTCTCTTTCAGTGGTCTGCATAACCACAGCAAAAAACCTCAGTATATAAACTATATGTCATATCAGACACTGTTCTTCTACTGTTTCGCCTTGGGAAAAAAAATATCCACAGCTGGGAATAAAGAGGTTTTACGAGGAAAAAAAGAGAGTCTTTGCAAGTAAAAAGTCTTAGTGTGCTTGATCTCTTTCAGACGTAGGCTTTGCTGGTGGCAACGGACCGTGGCTGAGAGTACTTTACGCCATAGTTGTCCTCCTTAGGTGGGCAGGAGCTACACAGTATACCTCCTCCCAGGATCAGCAGTGCAGCTGAACCAAATCCCATGTAGAGAGAAGGTCCCATCTCCCTTCTTTGGGCATCTGTGAGCAAGGGGTTGTAGAAATCCCTGATGATGGTGTTAGCTGACCAACAGACGGGGACCAGAACCAGCACTCCAGCGATGATGAAGATTACACCACTAGCAATAGCCACCTTCACCTTGGTGCTTTCACTCTCGACAAAGCTGGTACATTTTCCACCAGCAATCCCCAGGATGATCCCAAAGATGCACACAATGATGGCGATGATCACAAGTGCCCGAGCAGCCTGCAAGTCCTGAGGTAAGGCCAAGAGGGAGTCGTATATTTTGCACTGCATTTGTCCTGTGCTTTGTACCACACAGTTCATCCACAAGCCTTCCCAGATGGTCTGCGCAGTCACAATATTGGCTCCAATGAATGCGGTCACCTTCCACATAGGAAGGGCACAAATCACAATAGCTCCGATGAAACCAATAATTCCTAGGGACATGCCCAGTATCTGTCGGCACATAGACACCATTTTTCTCGTTTGCTTGGCTTCGTTGGCTTGAAAGTGGTCGCTCCTCTCTTTATCGTAGAAATGACTTCTGTTCCTCCCTTCAGAGTTTTAAGATTTTCTCAGACTAAGGGGAGGAGTCCAAGTTGGATGGACCTGAAACCAGGTTAAGGTAAATTTTCAAGCCTGACCAGATTCCTCAGAAGGGAATGTTGATACTGTGGCCAGTTTCGATGAGATGCACATCGGCAAAGAACTGAACAATGGCCATGTCACGAATACAAATGAGGCAAGTCATCGACCGAAAGGATTGGGTTGGTATTAACCGCAAACCTTGTTGACACTCAAAACAAAAAAACTATGAAGCTAAAAATAGAGCTAAGTGTTTTGATGGCCGGATGAAATAAAGGCTTTTTGACATTATATTTTGGTTAGCTTTCTTTTCTTATTACTGTTAAAAACTAAAGTCAAGTAAAGTCACATTTATTTATATAGCACTTTTTACAATACAGATTGTTTCAAAGCAGCTTTACAGAGATAACAGGAAAATAATGCAAAAAAAAAGTTTGTTTCCAGAAGAAAATAGTGTCACAGTCCAGCTTAAGTAAGTTCAGTGATGTTTAATTTTTGTTTTTAAAAAAGTTGTTAATTTAGTTCATTTACTGTATATATATACAGTATATAAGGCTGCTCTGGAGAAAACAGTGATGTCATCATCCAGTTCAGTTCTTGTATAATAGTGTCCATGCAGGCAGATCAATAATATTGTTGAATATTAAATTAAATGTTACATTTAATGTCCCCAACTAAGCAAGCCAAGCCAATGGCAACAAAGGTGGTAAAAGACGACAGTGGCGAGGAACCAAAACTCCATCAGGTGGCAGAATGGAGAAAAACCAGCTCAGTCTGGGTAACTAAACCAATGCTACACTGTCCATATGCTATTATTTACTGTTTCGTGGCAGAATCCCTGGTCCTTTCCAAGTAGAATTCACAATACAATTACATCAATGGTTTTCCAAAAATGAAAGGGGCATTTTAATTATATTTTCTCATTTTTAACTGGTTGGCAGCTGAGCGAAAAAGGTCTATTGCTCAAGTTTTAATTAATCATATAAATGTAGAAATGACTATATAAAATCATTTGTAATGTTTCAGAAATACATTTTATTAACAAGATTATAAAAATCCAAAGCTATATTCCTTGTAAAAACATTCCCCTGTGGAGACGCAATCAAATGTATTGATTCTTAAAAAAAAACATCAGAAAATGCTTGATTTACAGAAAGTGACCAACACAGCAGTACTCACAAATGTTACATACTGTGTTGAAACATACATGTATTCATATGCCAATTAGCATTACAAAATCTCTACCGGTAGAGCAACTGGAATGAGTGGAGGATGTGGACAAACAAGTTTTTCCAAATCATCATTCACAGGCTTGCAGAGAATAAGACATTGCAAACAGGTCGCTAATTAGATTTGTTGTTGGATATATACATTTTATTCAATCAAACACTGAAAGTAAGAACAGATTGCATTCAAAAATGTTGAGGAACACAGTTTTAGAAGATGAGAGTCAAAGAAATGTTCCATTAGCTAAAGATATTGTCCCGGAACTGTTGAGTAACCCGGGGGTGGATAAGGTTTGTTAGGAACGTAATTTCCAGTATATGCTACACTAGGTGCATATGTGTTAGCAGGCATATAAGCTCCAGGAGGCGCATACATAGGTCCCTGGTAGGGGTACATGCCTGGGTAATTTGGATACATATCTTCTCTCGGTGGACAGGAAGTACACAGAATGATCCCTCCAAACAGAAGACACGCTGAGGCACCCCAGCCAATGTATATGGATGCCCCAAGCTCCCTCTTTTGTGTCTCGATTGTGAGAACATTCTGGAAATCTGAGATGGTGACAGCTGACGACCAGCAGACCGGAATAAGACAGGCGACTCCAGCTACAATGCAGAGGATGCCACCCACGATCAGCACTTTAGCCATGGAGGACTCTTTCTTCAGACAGCTACTGCACTGGCCACCCACAAACGTCAGTAACATTCCAATGGCGCCGATCACTATTGCGATGACGGTCAGCGCACGTGCCGCTTGCAAGTCCTGGGTCAGTCGCATTATTGAGTCTTGGATTTTACACTGCATCTGTCCTGTGCTCTGCATTACACAGTTCATCCACAAGCCGTCCCAGACAATCTGGCCGGAGACAATGTTGGCACCAATGTACGAAGTGACACGCCATAATGGGATGCCACAACAGACACATATACCAACAAAACCAATGAAGCACAGGGTCTGGCCAGAAACCTCTTTAGCAATCCTTCCCATGGTGTTGTCACAATCAAAATCAGCTGTTGGTCTGGTCGTAATCCATGAGTGTCTGAGAAACAAGCAGGAAGTGATGGCCTGTTTGACACAGATCCTCATTTGGGAGGAGTCTTGTAGACCTGTTTGTTTTAAACCTGCTGAACAAGATTCCAAAGCAAGATTCTTAAAATATGCAGCCATTCCGTGAAGCAGGAAACGCGATTGGTACAGTAGATGCTGTCCAAACCATTTCAGTCTTTTCAGTCTCTCTTGTGTCAAAGATATGTCAAAGATTTGAAGATTCTCTCAGATGAGTGGAAATTAATTACAAATGAACAAATAGTGTTTAACACAAGATTTGAAATGAAATTAATATTTGAAAGAGGTGAAATGCTGTAAAAACTGTATATTATTACAGTATTACTTGTAGTAGCATAAATGAACTAATTTGTAAAAAAAAATTGTCTTGAGCTAAAGCAGTTTTTTACAGACAAGGTAACCGCTAGTTTTTGGAATGTTTACACTTTATTTTGGGTTACAAAGTTATAGCACAAGACTTATTTTAAGTGCCTTCTAAAGGATCTTAACTATAATTTGGACCCATTAGTCATTGCAGAAGATTACAAGCCTTGAGTTTCCATCATTGAAATTAGAATCTCACTAATAATATGCAGTTACAACTGTTTCAAAGAGCAATGACACTCCAATGAATGTGAAACATGAAAATATTGTATATTAAAGAGGCCAGTGCATACTTCCATATGCTAGTTACACAGAGCCAAGAGAGAAATATTCTGACATTTTGATGATTAGGCTTCAGAATTTGCCATCAGATTTAAAAATTTATTTTTTTATTTTTTGAGAAAACTTTGTGAAAGTATATTGGAAGTGTGCTGTTGCCCACGAGTTTTTAAACTTGTATGAACTAGTGATATATGCTTTAATTAATACAATCACAGTCTGAAGACTTGGGATACAATGTTATTTATTGATGCTAGTACATTATGATAAAAAATACATAATACACATGACAAATTACAGAACAATACAAATGGTATTATTGCAAGCATTTTAAATAAACCTATATCTATTCCCATCCATAAAAGCTGAAATACATACATTTAAGCATTTGGCCAACACTTTTATCCAAAGGGACTTGCATTGCATCTAAGGCAGTGTTTCTCAACCTCTCCTGCAGGGACCCCCTGACAGGCCATGTTTCTGTTTTAACCCTGAAATGGCACACCTGATTCAAGTCATTAAAGGCTTAATGAGTAGTTGACTAATTGATTAATTGAACTATTCCTACTCTAATTACTCATTAAGCCTTTAATTACTTGAATCAGGTGTGCCATTTCAGAGTTAAAACAAAAACATGGCCTGTCAGGGGGTCCCTGCAGGAGAGGTTGAGAAACACTGATCTAAGGTATACATTTTAGCAGTTCAAACATTCCCAGATGATCAAAGCCATGATGTTTCTAGCACTTTGCTCTACTGTTTCTGCTACTGGAATACCAACATATAAAAGAACATCATTTTAAAGAATTATCTCTTTCCAGAAGATATTCATTGCTAGGGAGATAGAAAATGTTACACTATTAAAAAATGTCTCAAGTAATTCTACAGATGAATTGTTGACACACAGTAATTCGATCTGCAGTTACTAGAGTGCATTTTAAGGCCAGTCATGTGGGTTCTGCATCTCAGACAAATTCTCTTGTTGAACTGGACCTCACAGCGGAGAACTTGGGGTTGTAGATGCGTTCTTGCTTTGGCGGGCAGCTCCAACAAAGTATTCCTCCTCCTAGTAAGAGCAACCCAGCAGATCCCCAGCCGATATACAGAGCTGCACCCAACTCTCTCCGCTGGGCCTCCACCATCAACGGATTATAGAAGTTCTGTATGATCGTGTTTGCTGACCATGAAACTGGGATGAGACAAAGAAGTCCAGAGACAATGAAGAAAATCCCTGCAATGATGCACGCCTTTGCTTTAGACCCTGGGTCCTCAATACAGTTGGTACACTTCCCACCAGCCATAGAAATGATGATTCCAAAGAGTCCGGTCAAAATGGAGATGATGATCATGGCCCGGCCGGCTTGAAGGTCAGAACTGAGTGCTAGCATGGAGTCATAGACTTTACACTGCATTTGTCCAGTGCTCTGCACCACACAGTTCATCCACATGCCCTCCCAGATGATCTGTGCTGTAACAATGTTGGCTCCAATAAATGCAGACACCCTCCACTGGGGCAAAGCACACACGACAATGACCCCCAGCCAACCCAGCATAGCTGTGACCATGCCCATAATCTGAAGTCCTTGGGAGACCATGTTTTTAAACCACAGGCCTGCCTTTACAGTGATAAAGTAGCCAAAAGTGTGCAAACCAGACATGTTTGCTCTTTATAGGAAAAGTGTGAAAAGGCGGAGTTTGGTTGTCCTGAGTTGATGATTTCTGGAGAGCCCCTATGCTTTCTCATTTGGCTGCTTACACTATAAACACAAAACAAGAGGAACTGACAAAGCACAGCAACACTTTGAGGTTCTTCAAGGTCAGTTAAAAAATAACTTTTCAAAATGACCTTGCATAAAAGCTACTGTGAAAGATATGGCCTTTAGATGGGTGATTATGGTTAGAAATATTTAATGTTTTCTTTACCATTTTTATGATATAGGTAGATGATACAACAAACAAAATTGCAAGAAATTATTAAAAAATGCACGCTAACCATAAATTCCCTTACCCTAACCCTAAACCTAACCATGATTGTAATAGGGAAAAACCTTTTTTAAATGATTTATGTACATGATAATAACTGCACTCTAAAAATCCAGGGTTGTTAAACCCATGTGTGGCAAGCAGGACGGGCCGGTGGCGTGATTACTGATGAGCACCACCTGTGTGTCGCACCGGTCTCGAATCTCTCACGGAGGAGCTTCGGAAGCATGAAAGGAGGAGCGACGACAGTGAAGGACGAGAGAGGACCAGGCCTGGCTTTACATTGTGTTTTGTTTATATTGTTTATATACTGTATTTATATGCAGTCGTCCGTGAGGGGCTGCTGACTTTACTTTCATTTTGGATTTATTTATTTTATGATTATTAAAGTTTGTTAAACGTTCGCCGGTTCCCGCCTCCTTCTTCCCATTAACAACTAATCTTCGTTACACCATGTTTGGGCCAAATATGGACAAACCCAACCGTTGGGTTTAAAAATTTGATTAAAAAAATGTAAATGGTTGGGTTTGTCTATATTTGACCCAAACATTGGTTGAAACAACCCAGCATTTTTTAAGAGTGTGGATATCCCACAAAGGATGCCATAACTATTTGGAAAATTTTGAAAGAACATTTTAGATTTTTTTTTGTATCTGTTCCAGGTTAGACACAGGAGACTGGGGTTAGTTGCAACAACCTTTACCACATTTACTTCTCAGGGTTTATTTTTGAAAGTCAGTTTTCTGTGTAGACATGCAATAGCTTAACTGCTTCAAAACGCTATTTAACATTTCCATTTTTCCATTTAAAATTATACCATTCTTAAAACTTCTGGAACTTCATTAGAGTAAAAGCACTTATATAAGCAGAAAATTATACAGTATATATTGGGATATTTAATCAGACAATATACAACTATTATTTGTCATACAGTTTTTTAAAATTGCTTAGACACCAAAAGTCTCCAAAACTACAAGCACATTACGTGCTTTACACTCAGGTTGCAATTGTAAAACAAACTTTTTGCACAACTCCAAACACAGTTCTCTACGTTAGACACTTCATTCAAAACGTACAGCTCTTTTGTTTCATTTGGGAAACAATGCAATCATTTCCCAATTACCCACTACGCCCAATTATCATGTGTGAAAACACTTATACATAAAAGGTTCACTTATAAATCAAAACTCAGTGTTTTGAGAAAGAAAGAAAATATTTACCCCCTTGCATCTCTGTTTGGAGTGTAAATATATATGCATGTATATATACAGTATATTACATACTGTGTGTATATATATATATATATATATATATATATTTATTTATTTCTGTGTGTATATACATACGTGTAATGTATGTGTATGTATATATATATATATATATATATATATATATATATATATATATATATATATATAAAGTAAATACAGAAACTCAACTTTATTTCTAAAGCGCTTTATACAATACAGATTTCACAGCAGCTTCACAATAGTAACAAATTCAAATTCTGCTGTAAAGCAGCTCTAACAAGCCAATAGTGTCATTATTCAGCTCAAATCAGTTCAGTATTGATTTAGTTTAGTTTCATACCTGTGTAAAATTCATCATTTGAGCAACCATACTGTACATACTTGGCTTGCTTTAACATTTAATTTAATATTCAACAATAATATTGATCTGCCTGCATTGACACTATTATACAAGAACTGAACTGAGCTGGACGATGACATCACTGTTTACTCCAGAGCGGCTATATATATATAAATGAACTAAATTACTAACTGTTTTTATTTTTACTAAATGAAACATCACTGTTTCAGTGCTAACTTACTTAAACTGGACTGTGACACTATTTTCTTCTGGAAACAAACTTTGTTGCATTATTTTCCTGTCATTATTTTCCTGCTTTGAAACAATCTGTATTGCAAAAAGCGCTATATAAATAAATGTGACTTGACTTGACTATATACACTGGTATACAGTGTATTCGTAGCATATGCATGTATGTGTTAGTGCTATGACAAAGTCCTGTACACTCCAATATAGTGGTGTTTTATGATTTTCACATCTGTGTTTGCCATGTGTGTGGCTAATCATTTATTGTTTGTGTGTAGAGTAGTAACTCTACAATAGTTTTGAATTACTGTAAGTGTTGCTTTTGAAAGATATGTGTGACAGTTTGCAAGTTGTGTGCGTGTTTTGTGGTTTTGTGTGTATAGAGTTTTAAGAAATGGAGCCATAGTTTAAAAAACTGTGTGTAAGCATTTTTAAAAAACTGTAATATAGTGAAACAAACGTGTGTGTTTTTTTTTTGGGGGGGGGGGGGGGGGGGGTAATATTACCAAATTATGTATCAGATAATTTATTGAGAACAGAACCGTCTTTCTAAACAAATAGTACAAATTTAAATGGGTTTGCTAGATACAGATTTGTATTATTTATGAATAATAGACAAATGCAAAAATCCACTTTTAACTGTGTGTAATGAGGCACAAGACACTAATTTGAGTGTTTGTAAAGAATTTATTTGTTGCAATGCATACTTGAAATGTTTTCTAGCTCAAATCTGTCACAATTTTAAAACACAATATGAATACATTTACATTTTATATAAATCCTTAACAGTTGAGGCACATCCTCAGAGTGTGAAGCCAGTCAGCAAAGTTAAGAAGAGATATTTACAGTGTTCTTTGGCAGTAGAGTTCTGTTCAGACACATTCACACTGATACATTCTGAGTGTTTCACCATTCCTGTCATATCTTGGAGAACTGAGGGCTAATTCAACCATTTGGTCAGTGATAGAGCGTTCGCATGCATGGTCAATTGTAACACCACAGGTCAAAAGCTGACCAAGGTACAATGTTCACAAATTGGGCAGTTTGAATGTCACTATTTGCAGTGCTCTTTGGCTCCTCTTCACACATACCCTTTGGTTCCTCCAGGCCGAGCAGTGTACTTCGTGGTGTACTGATCCCGGGGAGGGCAATTTGCACACAGCAGTGAGCCGCCAATAACCAGCAGTGCCGAAGCAGCCCACCCAATAAACAGCGAAGCTCCCAACTCTTTCTTTTGTGCACTGTTGGTTAACGGGTTGTAGAAGTCCCTTACAATTGTGTTGGCGGTCCAGCAGACTGGAATCAAACACAGAATCCCAGCGACGATGAAGATGGCTCCTGAAATAATGCCAACTTTGGCCTTGGCTGTCTCATCTTCAATGCAGTTGGTGCATTTCCCTCCAGCAGCCGCTAGCAGGATCCCAACAACACCAGCCAGGATGGAGATAATACACAAGGCACGGGCCGCCTGCAGGTCTGAGCTGAGGGCCAGCATGGAGTCGTAGACTTTACACTGCATCTGGCCAGTGCTCTGCACCACACAGCTCATCCAGATTCCTTCCCAGGTAATCTGCGCTGTGACGATGTTCTGTCCGATGAAAGCCGTGACGAGCCACATTGGGAGAATGCAAACCACAATCACCCCGATCCAGCCAATGACAGCCAGGGCAATGCCCAGCATCTGTAACCCTGCTGATACCATGCTGGACGCTTCTTTGGTTGTGCGTTGAAGTCAAAGAGAGTGAAAGAAACAGTAAGCTTCACTCTGTAGAGCCAGTTTAGTGAACATGGGAATAAAGCAGGCTCTTTTATGTGACGGGGAACAAGGAGGGGCAGCAGGGAATCACTCACAGGCACACCGTCACCATGATTCGCCCCCTGGCCTGCGCTGTCATCGAGCAAGCAAATCCCAGGGGCGAGTCTTAACTCATGCTCGCATTAGGGTGGACTTCTTTAGGGCATTTTAGGAATCATTAGTTATTCATAGTTTTTGTGGAAAATAACATGATTCATGGTTCAACAATAGGAGTAATCCATAAATGAAGATTAAAGAAGCAAGGCAGACACAAAAATATAATACACAGAAGGCACGTGAAGGGTTTTGAAAGATGAAGTAACATAATTAACTCTGGGCAATACGTCTAAACATTTAAAAGAGCACGAATTGTACAAAATATCGATTCAGCCTCTGAAACACACACCCAAAACACTCTTAATTTTGATTCACTGTCTTTTGTCTTCACTAATTGTAGCTGAAGCTTTAGCTTAGAAGGATGATTTTCCATAATGCAAAAGATAACGCACATTTCTACTTAGAGATAATTATGTGACCATTATATGCAGTTTTAGTAATGTTTTAGACAAATGAGTTTAATGAAATTAGTCATCTCGAGCAAAGCGTATTTCATGCCACCCTCTCACCAATACTTCTATTACACATTCTTTTTTTTATCTCACAAAAAGACATTCAATGGAAAAGGCAGTTGCTTAAATTAGATTAAAACGGCCACTATTTGAAGCTCCACAATCTTCCATTCTTTATATATTAAATATTATTTCTAAATAGTCCAATTTCTAAAGAAACGAGGGAAAAAGCAGTAAAATGCTGACCTGGTTTCCAATGTCCAGAGAAAGGTGGAATCTTTCCTAACGCCACTGCTGCACTATATAGTTAAAAGAGCGAAAAAGCGTTCGCTGTCCAAGGGTTCGCAGGGAACAGACATTAGAGGCACATGGTGGAGGGATGAAAATCAATCTCAGGTGTTTGCTGTGTAGAAAATGGAGGGGGGAAAAGAGGGACAAAGTAAGAGATACTGTTTGTTTCATGAATGAAAGAAGGCTCTGTTTGGTGGCCAGAAGGACAAGAATGGCTCTATTTTACACGGCAGCTCATTAAAATCCCCTTGGCAAGGAGAAAGAGGATACGGTTCCACACAGGGAAGGAATGTCTGCAATTAAGGAATTGTGGAGAGATGGTCTGCCAAATTTTACCTTCTCAGATGGGTTATTTTCAATCCTATTTGAGGCTGTGGTATCAAACATTTCAATACAGACATCAGAATGTATTCGATTGGTATTGAAAGATTATGTCATCATAATGACTGTAATTCAGTAAATAGGTAACAATGAATCACATTTGGTTACTGTTCATTTGTTTGTCCTGTATGGACACACGAGTTAGAAGTTTCTACACTAGAACAGAATCATTAAATCAGCGAGGCTCTTGAAAAAAACAACACCTAAACGGCTATTTGGAGAACTGGCTGGTCTAGATGTTAGGCAAATGAATATTACACATGGGAAAATGAACATGAAAATTGTACATTTGCATAAATGTAATTCAATTAATATACTGCATTAATTAACCTTTTTGAATGTGAGTTAATACAAATGTTCACAGAGCAATAATTAATGTTAACAGGTACAACTTTTGAACTTACAAGTATTTGTATTAGTAAGTGTTGAGATTAACATATTTAATAGATGATTGATGTATTGTTCATTGTTAGTTTATGTTGACTAATGTAGGCTAGTTAACAAATGAAACTTTATTGTAAAGTGTTACCAAACAATAAGATAGGACACATAAATAGAATACATTTAATTTATGTAAGTATTAACCAATATTTCCACAGTGGCAATGGGAAATGTTTTTACTTCTACTTTCGGCAGTGAGTCATTTGTCTCCACACTGTTTACAGTCACCTGGGTAATTACTAATGAATCTTTTAATAGTTTCTCCCTCCCAGGTGACGGGGGAGGTGTCTGACATCAGAGAGTTTCACCCCCGGGCTTGTGGGACGCATAGACAGTTTCTATGGATGATCAAGCCTGTGATAGCGATCTAGAAGAATGAAAAGACGGATGACTCACCAGTGCTTTCCAATGATCAAACAAGAACACACCACACTGAGAACACTCGATGCTTGACCCAGCCAGATCATTAAAGACTGCTGAGTTTCTGAACAATTAACATACTTGACCAGACACAGAACAGTGGACTACACATTTTGGTCAAGCTCATCAGAAAATAAAACCTTAGATAGGATAATACGTTAACTGTCTTCACTTTCAGAAGTTATATGTGATGTAATTAAAGGTGCCATATGTAAAAATTGAGGTAAAAATATCCAACAAATGAGCTACACGTATCAAAAGAATGAGAAGAAATAAATGCAATGATGTCATTAAAAAAATGACAAGTTATAGTGCTGCCGAGATATAAACCTGAATTAGCATGCTAAATTACTAGCCCCGGCCCGGCTGGTGTCATAATACCAGTTTCGGCCATGGGAGGCGGTATGCGGGCAACATACATAACCCCCAGCCAAACTCCAATACACGAATAACTCGCACGGCTTGTGGGCGTACTTGAACCTGATGTCAATCGCGTCTATATGAGACCGGCCTTTATAATTTAGTGTTGAGATGTTGTTCATTGAGTCTCTAATCTCTAAAAATCTCCAAATGAACTGCGGTCTTACGATCGTGTCAATTGATTTGATTAATATGCGCGAGGGAGAGAGAGAGCAGGAGGACTGCGCTCGTGTTGTTTGAAGACGTGAGAGCGCGCGCGCGCGGCCAGGGCCGCGGGGCGCTCTCTCTCTGCTCGTTATGCGCCCTGTCAAGCGCAGCAGTCATTATATTCTACCATAGACAGTAAAAGAAATGGACAGAGCGATCTCATTGGAACTCAGTTGAGACAGTTGAAGCCCACTTTTAGCGATTTTTGAGAACTTCCGTTCCTGACGCGCAGACTCAGACCGACTCAAACTAAGCTTGATGACGTTAGCAACCTGTCTGACAGACGTTAATCTTCTAGTAGCTGTGCGTGAAAACTGCCAACGTTAATCTTGCAGAGACGGGGAACTTGAGCAAAGAGTTCTTTGGCGTGAGTGAGCAGGAGTAAGAATTCCGTTGCTTTTATGGACTCATTATCTATGGGCTTCTCCCTTGACGGGACGTCCCCCCGATTGCCTGCGAGCTTCTCCTCCTGTCTGTACGGTAACTTCTGTACAGCGCGACAGAGAGTCGAGTGGTTATGACGCAATCGTTAGCCTATTTTTACTAAATCTGTTTCTACGGGGCCATAGTGTAACATAGAAGGTAATGGAGCCCTTTATACATTGTCGTGTTTCTTTAGAAATAAATAATGGACAAATGGAGTCTTTAAACGCCTCAGATGTAAAGTTATTCGCTGTCAAAGTGACGCAAAAATGAATGGGAGTCAATGGAAATGCTAACGCAAGTGAAGTTCTGCTACAACATGGCGGCACCCGGCCGGCTTCAACTTCCGGTCGATGGATTAACCCCTTGTATTCTACATCACTCACCGATCAAAATAGGCTTTGGCGGGACAAAGCGGACGATTTGACGGTTTTAGAAGATTAACAACCCGAAACTAAAAAACAGACTAGAGTAGGCCAACTTTCTGGAGGTATACTGCCCCCATCTGGTATGGAATATGTGGATTTTGAATTGATTTTTTTACACAAGGCACCTTTAAGACCAGAAGACTGAAAATGTTGAAATTCAAATAAAATTCAAACACTGAGAAACAATGGACAGGTTTGATATATTGCAAAGGGAAAGTCAACAAATCAATCATTTAAAATTGAACAAAATCAAATACTTTATTCCTGGTAGGCTACTATCTGGTAGTTTCGATGTGGCTTGTAATTATTCATGTTAGTAAATAAAGAAGCAAGCAAGCAAGCAAATAAATACATACACACATACACACACACACACACACACACACACACACACACACACACACACACACACACAAAATAACTTATTTTCAAATTGTCTACCCAACCAAATATCATTAAGTCAAGTCAAGTCACATTTATTTATATAGCGCTTTTTACAACAGATTGTATCAAAGCAGCTTTACAGAGATAACAGGAAAATAATGCAAAAAAGATTGTTTCAGAAGAAAATAGCGTCACAGTCCAGCTTAAGTAAGTTCAGCGAGGTTTCATTTTTGTTGTAAAAAAGTTATTAATTTAGTTCATTTATATATATAGCCGCTCTTATGTCATCGTCCAGTTCAGTTCTTGTATAGACCTTATGTAGCCCCGCCCCTTTTCAGCGCTGCGCTCGTTGTCTTTTGACTTCCGGTCTGTATTTTCACAGCGATCTTGCATATAGGTATGAATGAACTGCTCGTAAAAAATTTCCCGGTCGACATTTGTTAAGACATCTGCTTTACAATGCTTATGATAAACATTACAATACTCATGATAACTTTTGTTAACTCTACAATAAGTAAATCCACTTCACCAGCGAATTACTCCTGGACAGCGATGCCATAGAAATATACAGAGCGACCGCAAAAACGGAAGTTCAAAGACAATATTCTAAAGATGACGGCGCCCACGTTTCTCTGGTGCATAAGGTCTATATAATAGTGTCAATGCAGGCAGATCAATATTATTGTTGATTATACTACAGGGATGTTGAATGCTTGATTCTGATTGGTTGAGAACGTTCTAAGGTGTGCAATTATTTTCAGGGAAACGCACGGCTAAAGTAGTTTCAGGCAGGTTTGACCGTATTGTAATTACAGTTCCATATCACTGCGCGTAGTTAACCGTAATAACGGAAAATAGCATAGGCTACAATTCATAATAACAAGAAAAAACATGCAGCCCCATGCACTTGATCTGCAATTTTCGATATAACTCAGAGCCGATCCTCCCTATACGCACACTACGCAAGCTGCGTAGGGCCCCGCAAATTACTCAAGGCCCCGCCTCCCCCTCGCGTCAAAGCGCGTCAATCAAAGTTTACAACATCGATGAGATAATTAAGCGGAACTATCCTTCTGGTCACGAAAAGAGAAACTGAGAGAAAAACACCATGTGAGTGAATTGCGGGAACAGCGATCAGGTAAACTTGTGTTCTCTCCTCTCCAAGTTTGATGTCAGCACAGAACAGAACAGTAAAGTTAAGTTGATGTGCATCTCTCTCTATCTGTCTGTCTCCAGCCCGATCTCATGAAAGCGCGTATTTATACCACGAATTTAATTTCTCGTGCCATTTATACGCCAAAAATAGTTTTTGCGTGCATATGATACGCACTTTTTGGCGTGTAATATGCACGCACTCCACACCCCTAATCCTACCCAAGAGATTTACAGTGCGTAGCATATGCACGCAAAAAACATTTTTGCCGTATAAATAGCACGATAAATTAAATTCGTGGTATAGATACGCACTTTCATGAGATTACGTTTGATAATACAAAGGGCAACGGTTTTTGTTTATAAACTGCAGCTCGGAAAAGATAACCGCGTCGCGCGTTAACATGAGTTCATATGCGCGTGCATGAAATGAAACGCGCACTTTCCAGAAAAAAAAAAAATCTATGGGGACCAGTTACCAGTACAATATGGGCGTTATGGCACTCTTCATTAGGCGCTCACTTTAAAACAAGACAATGATTATCAAGTCTCCAAATCAGAATAGTTACAACCCTGCAATAAAGCAAGATGGAAAGCAATCTATTGATATTGACTATTGCATTTAAAATGTTGATTAGCTGGACATACTGGTCAATATGGATGCACATCAATCAGTAAATAATAACCATTAAGTATCAATTATTGCTTTTATCATTTAAAACACAGTGACATGCAATGGCAAGCCATTTTAGCTTTTATTAATTCACAGGATGCATTTTTGATATCAATAATTAAATTTGTACTATTTAAAATGTGAATTATTGATATTAATATAAAATATGTCTATTTCTGATATCAGGAATTACATTTTCATTAGTACTAACTAAACGAGGGAGGATTGTAGTGGGAGAACTGGGGTGTCAGGTG